ATCATCGGCAGTACGCACCCACTGGGATTCGAACCAGGGACCTTCCGGTTACAAGGCAAGCTCGTATACCATTCAGCCACTGGGACCCGATTCAATGGCTCGTGAATTCTAACTTCTACTAATTCGTGATTTAGCGCGACCCCAACCATTGTCGTTGGTGGGACATCCATCCACACACGTGACATCTAATTGGACCTCACTGGTCACGACTTCTCACTAGAACTCAGGAAACTCCAACCTGTAGCAAGTCACTAGCGAGCATCAGATTAACTTTCTATAGTTTGGTTTGTAAGGATTAGTTATGTTTTACGGGTTGATCACGGATTGATATCAGTTAGAGAAACATTGAAAACCAGGGAGTACTGGACAGCTGCTGTTTCATCCTAGTTTGGGAATCATCGGCAGTACGCACCCACTGGGATTCGAACCAGGGACCTTCCGGTTACAAGGCAAGCTCGTATACCATTCAGCCACTGGGACCCGATTCAATGGCTCGTGAATTCTAACTTCTACTAATTCGTGATTTAGCGCGACCCCAACCATTGTCGTTGGTGGGACATCCATCCACACACGTGACATCTAATTGGACCTCACTGGTCACGACTTCTCACTAGAACTCAGGAAACTCCAACCTGTAGCAAGTCACTAGCGAGCATCAGATTAACTTTCTATAGTTTGGTTTGTAAGGATTAGTTATGTTTTACGGGTTGATCACGGATTGATATCAGTTAGAGAAACATTGAAAACCAGGGAGTACTGGACAGCTGCTGTTTCATCCTAGTTTGGGAATCATCGGCAGTACGCACCCACTGGGATTCGAACCAGGGACCTTCCGGTTACAAGGCAAGCTCGTATACCATTCAGCCACTGGGACCCGATTCAATGGCTCGTGAATTCTAACTTCTACTAATTCGTGATTTAGCGCGACCCCAACCATTGTCGTTGGTGGGACATCCATCCACACACGTGACATCTAATTGGACCTCACTGGTCACGACTTCTCACTAGAACTCAGGAAACTCCAACCTGTAGCAAGTCACTAGCGAGCATCAGATTAACTTTCTATAGTTTGGTTTGTAAGGATTAGTTATGTTTTACGGGTTGATCACGGATTGATATCAGTTAGAGAAACATTGAAAACCAGGGAGTACTGGACAGCTGCTGTTTCATCCTAGTTTGGGAATCATCGGCAGTACGCACCCACTGGGATTCGAACCAGGGACCTTCCGGTTACAAGGCAAGCTCGTATACCATTCAGCCACTGGGACCCGATTCAATGGCTCGTGAATTCTAACTTCTACTAATTCGTGATTTAGCGCGACCCCAACCATTGTCGTTGGTGGGACATCCATCCACACACGTGACATCTAATTGGACCTCACTGGTCACGACTTCTCACTAGAACTCAGGAAACTCCAACCTGTAGCAAGTCACTAGCGAGCATCAGATTAACTTTCTATAGTTTGGTTTGTAAGGATTAGTTATGTTTTACGGGTTGATCACGGATTGATATCAGTTAGAGAAACATTGAAAACCAGGGAGTACTGGACAGCTGCTGTTTCATCCTAGTTTGGGAATCATCGGCAGTACGCACCCACTGGGATTCGAACCAGGGACCTTCCGGTTACAAGGCAAGCTCGTATACCATTCAGCCACTGGGACCCGATTCAATGGCTCGTGAATTCTAACTTCTACTAATTCGTGATTTAGCGCGACCCCAACCATTGTCGTTGGTGGGACATCCATCCACACACGTGACATCTAATTGGACCTCACTGGTCACGACTTCTCACTAGAACTCAGGAAACTCCAACCTGTAGCAAGTCACTAGCGAGCATCAGATTAACTTTCTATAGTTTGGTTTGTAAGGATTAGTTATGTTTTACGGGTTGATCACGGATTGATATCAGTTAGAGAAACATTGAAAACCAGGGAGTACTGGACAGCTGCTGTTTCATCCTAGTTTGGGAATCATCGGCAGTACGCACCCACTGGGATTCGAACCAGGGACCTTCCGGTTACAAGGCAAGCTCGTATACCATTCAGCCACTGGGACCCGATTCAATGGCTCGTGAATTCTAACTTCTACTAATTCGTGATTTAGCGCGACCCCAACCATTGTCGTTGGTGGGACATCCATCCACACACGTGACATCTAATTGGACCTCACTGGTCACGACTTCTCACTAGAACTCAGGAAACTCCAACCTGTAGCAAGTCACTAGCGAGCATCAGATTAACTTTCTATAGTTTGGTTTGTAAGGATTAGTTATGTTTTACGGGTTGATCACGGATTGATATCAGTTAGAGAAACATTGAAAACCAGGGAGTACTGGACAGCTGCTGTTTCATCCTAGTTTGGGAATCATCGGCAGTACGCACCCACTGGGATTCGAACCAGGGACCTTCCGGTTACAAGGCAAGCTCGTATACCATTCAGCCACTGGGACCCGATTCAATGGCTCGTGAATTCTAACTTCTACTAATTCGTGATTTAGCGCGACCCCAACCATTGTCGTTGGTGGGACATCCATCCACACACGTGACATCTAATTGGACCTCACTGGTCACGACTTCTCACTAGAACTCAGGAAACTCCAACCTGTAGCAAGTCACTAGCGAGCATCAGATTAACTTTCTATAGTTTGGTTTGTAAGGATTAGTTATGTTTTACGGGTTGATCACGGATTGATATCAGTTAGAGAAACATTGAAAACCAGGGAGTACTGGACAGCTGCTGTTTCATCCTAGTTTGGGAATCATCGGCAGTACGCACCCACTGGGATTCGAACCAGGGACCTTCCGGTTACAAGGCAAGCTCGTATACCATTCAGCCACTGGGACCCGATTCAATGGCTCGTGAATTCTAACTTCTACTAATTCGTGATTTAGCGCGACCCCAACCATTGTCGTTGGTGGTCAACCCGTTAGCTTGCCTTGTAACCGGAAGGTCCCTGGTTCGAATCCCAGTGGGTGCGTACTGCCGATGATTCCCAAACTAGGATGAAACAGCAGCTGTCCAGTACTCCCTGGTTTTCAATGGTTCTCTAACTGATATCAATCCGTGATCAACCCGTAAAACATAACTAATCCTTACAAACCAAACTATAGAAAGTTAATCTGATGCTCGCTAGTGACTTGCTACAGGTTGGAGTTTCCTGAGTTCTAGTGAGAAGTCGTGACCAGTGAGGTCCAATTAGATGTCACGTGTGTGGATGGATGTCCCACCAACGACAATGGTTGGGGTCGCGCTAAATCACGAATTAGTAGAAGTTAGAATTCACGAGCCATTGAATCGGGTCCCAGTGGCTGAATGGTATACGAGCTTGCCTTGTAACCGGAAGGTCCCGGGTTCGAATCCCAGTGGGTGCGTACTGCCGATGATTCCCAAACTAGGATGAAACAGCAGCTGTCCAGTACTCCCTGGTTTTCAATGGTTCTCTAACTGATATCAATCCGTGATCAACCCGTAAAACATAACTAATCCTTACAAACCAAACTATAGAAAGTTAATCTGATGCTCGCTAGTGACTTGCTACAGGTTGGAGTTTCCTGAGTTCTAGTGAGAAGTCGTGACCAGTGAGGTCCAATTAGATGTCACGTGTGTGGATGGATGTCCCACCAACGACAATGGTTGGGGTCGCGCTAAATCACGAATTAGTAGAAGTTAGAATTCACGAGCCATTGAATCGGGTCCCAGTGGCTGAATGGTATACGAGCTTGCCTTGTAACCGGAAGGTCCCGGGTTCGAATCCCAGTGGGTGCGTACTGCCGATGATTCCCAAACTAGGATGAAACAGCAGCTGTCCAGTACTCCCTGGTTTTCAATGGTTCTCTAACTGATATCAATCCGTGATCAACCCGTAAAACATAACTAATCCTTACAAACCAAACTATAGAAAGTTAATCTGATGCTCGCTAGTGACTTGCTACAGGTTGGAGTTTCCTGAGTTCTAGTGAGAAGTCGTGACCAGTGAGGTCCAATTAGATGTCACGTGTGTGGATGGATGTCCCACCAACGACAATGGTTGGGGTCGCGCTAAATCACGAATTAGTAGAAGTTAGAATTCACGAGCCATTGAATCGGGTCCCAGTGGCTGAATGGTATACGAGCTTGCCTTGTAACCGGAAGGTCCCGGGTTCGAATCCCAGTGGGTGCGTACTGCCGATGATTCCCAAACTAGGATGAAACAGCAGCTGTCCAGTACTCCCTGGTTTTCAATGGTTCTCTAACTGATATCAATCCGTGATCAACCCGTAAAACACTCAGTATTCCCAATATTTGTACACGATGCTTGCTAAGTTATGGAATATGGCAAAATAAACACATAATGCTCTTTGGAGTTTTCAACACCTTTTAGATATAACAAACCTATTTTCGAATTGTATGTTACTTATAACAAGTAAATCTAAAATGGGATAAGATGGATTTTAACTGCTTATGAATTAAATAAAAACACGATGAAAGATAAGACTAGCTGGCATTATTCTTATGGAGGAAAATTGTATGTTCTTGTTGCCGTGATGATGAGTGTTATAAGAAGCAATGTGAGCTTACAAGAGGACTATGGAATGAAGAAGAAGAAGTGGTGCTAACGATTTAAATTGTTTTCTATTATAGTTGATAGTGATTACCTTTGGAATCAGGGTTTTGCATCTGATTGCATGCGGAATTTTTCAGATGAATGGGCCTGCATCTTCCCCAGAGATAGGGCGAAACGTGCATCCTCGACTCTCCTGCTAGTCATTTTCATCTTAAGTAAGGTCATGTTAATACTAAGACACCATCGAAACATCCGTACTCGGGACCGACGTGTCAGTAGAGGTCGAGCGTTTTGGTCGAACATAATCAAACGACGAGAGATATAAATCAACCGAAATGACATTTTAATCATGAGTATTATACTGACTTTCAAATCATAAATTGTTTTTAAACAGAACTGAATACTACTACTACTACTAATTCTTCTATTTTTCTTTGTTTCTTAACAACCTTCAAGGTCAACGAATACATGGTAATAAATGTGCAAACAAATTACCCAACAGATAAAATACACTATGTGGTAAGTGCCTTTTTGTTTAACTAAGAAAGTGGAAGATATTCAAGCCTAATTTGCGAATAACCTTACAAAATTTTAGAAATAACTTCTTTGTACTATGTCCACCATATTTTACCATCACATCGGCATCAACAGAAATGCCTGTAATATGAAATTAATAGAGATTTGTTTTAAAGCGTAGTTCTTTTAGGATTTTCTAAAAGTCTTTTTCTTTTTAAAAAAATTTTTTCTAAAAGTTAAAAAGACAGGTCAGTAAAGATTATTATTTTAATACCATCTCATCTACGCTGTACAATTGAATACAATCTAAAAGGTCATTAAAAATGCCAATAAAGGTCAGATGTTAAGGTCAGGTGGAAACAAAATATATTGACTTGTATGTCTGGAAGGAAATTAGTGAAGATGAGATGTTATATTTCGTTTATCCGAAAACTACATGTGTCTATAAGCAAGAAAATTATTTTACCAACCGAGTGAAACCCATTTGATTAAGAACGTGCACTTTTTATGGCATGTTACGTTCGCTAAACAGTTATCATTTCCAGTACTACGCACTCACTGGGGCTTGAACCCAGGATCTTTTGATTACTAGGCGAGCTCATAGACCATTCAGTCAATGAGACGCGAACCAATGGCACGTGAATTTCAATTCACCATATGTATAACTCAACCGCCAGCCAGTGTCATAGGCGAGTAACTTATCTTTTACTTGACTCGATTGTAACCCGCTGGTTGTGACTTCTCACTAGAACTCCAGATAACTTCTTGCATAGTGCCAGTCACTAGTGCGCATCAAATTAATTATTGAGTTCTGGTTCTCCGGGATTTGATTGGACACAGGTCCGATCAGGAGAGGATAGCTGTCTAATACTATTCTATTGGTCCTCTAACTGATATCAAATAGTTTACAAAGCTATAACCAATTAAATTCCCGCAAACCAGTATTTGATAATTATTATTTTGACCATCGGGTGCCTCACAAACAATTCACCACAAAAATCCATTCACTTTAAATTCTTTTCAGTGGTCAAACTCACAATTTTTCGATAATTCATTAAAATCTATTTTTTATCCTGACACCTATTTTGACTGAGAAAATCAGGTGACATTAGTTAAAGAACCATTGGAAAACCTGGGAGTACTGGACAGCTGTTTCGTCCTAGTTTGGGACTCTTCATCAGTACGCACCCACCGGGATTCGAACCCAGGACCTTCCGGTTACAAGGTCCCAGTGGCTTAATGGTATACGAGCTCGCCTTGTAACCGGAAGGTCCTGGGTTCGAATCCCGGTGGGTGCGTACTGATGAAGAGTCCCATACTAGGACGAAACAGATGTCCAGTACTCCCAGGTTTTCCAATGGTTCTCTAACTAATGTCAGCTCATGATGAAATCCTGAAACCAGTCAAATCCCTACAAACCAACACTTTAAAATCAGGTGACTTGACTGTGGATTTGTTGACTGGAAGAGATAAACAGATTAACAGTATTTATTATCTTCAAGTGAACTTCCTGAAAAATCCGAACCACAATCTTATTTCGGAACTAAACTGCTCTGAAAAAAAATTAAGTTTTTCATTTTATGTGGTCGTGTTATTTTGAGATCTTTGCTATTCATAATGCATAGGTGGTTCTTCTGTAGGAGGGTGGAAAATTTTGAACTTTTTTGTCCTTTCAAAGTAAAGGAATTAATGTCGCCTGTGAGCTAATCTATTTCAATGTTCACTCATTGATCTTAAGTGGAGTAACGTGCCGTAAAATTTACCCATAGTATAATAGGAATGATGAGCCAAATTCAAATGCTTCATTTGACAGTAAGAATGACAACAGCTGTTTCATGCAATGTATCTAGCAGACTACAGTAGGCCATTGACAGAATTACTTTTCTTTAAAATTTTATACTTGCGAAGAAGATTCAATGCCAACATTTTAAAGGTCTGATAAATAAAGTGCGACCTAACGATAATACGCTCTATGATATTTTTCTAGACAAATAAATTAACTATCCATCATCAATCATGGCAACGTATGAGTCACATAAACTTCACATATCAATGATAATGTAGTGATAACAGTATCTCATTTTAATAGTAAGACTAAGCTGCTAAATCGATGAATAGACAGTTTTATTTATTTTTATTTAATATTCCATTTAAATCCCATAAATTCTATAAAGTTAGAATTAACAGTAGACAAGATGTCTGGATATAGTCACTGTGCGAAAGCAATTTTGTTGATCGATTCACTCAGACAGATGCTTCTAACCAATTTAATTTATTGGACTTTGTACCGAGCTAATGTCAGTAAAAAGACTGCATTGTGGAATCGATCAAATGAATTATAATTATATTTCACTGGTTTTTTAAACACAGTGCTAAGTGTTTTGTTTTAGTAAAATTCCAAGCAAAAATTACTGCCCGTGATCATACCAGCTACTGACACTTTTTTTGAATTAAAAAAACGGAGCAATCAACTGTTCATTATTCATTACGGTTTTTGAATCATTTATTCTCAAAGTACATTTTTTATTCTGTATAGCTGCATATTTCTATAAGTGGTAGAATTGATGAAGTCTGCAATGCCAGCTAGCATTATTTTTGGGGCAAAATCTTCGGGCGCACGGACTTACGTGGGACAATACCTCTAAGCCTGCCAAAAAAAAATCTGCAATGCGCCCGAAGTCTGCCCCAAAAAATCTGTAATGAGCCCGAAATCGTTGCTAGCTGGGATGTTTATGTACGCTGTAGACTTTGAAACATGACTTTGTATTCTAGAGGCCTCTCATCTCGGATTAATTATTTATTGTTTGTAGCCTGTTAATCTGTATACTCGGCTTCTAACCACTTGGACAAGGATTCGAAAGACGTCAGTTTTTAGCATTAGCTATCTCACAACCGGTGTAGATCACTGTTTAGTGGATCAACCTACATATGACCCCTGAACTTCATTATTATTGTTTCCTTTTATCTTTTATTTTCACTGTCATCACTTTTTAATTTTCTTAGGTTGTTTCCAATGGAAATATCTTAGCAACTGACCAGTTGCGTATGCCAAGTTCGGTGACATCACGTACTTTTTCAATAGCTGTATCACGTTCAATGTTTCCAGTTTCACATATAGTTGCCTATTTCATTAGGGATAATAGTGAAATAGTATCGGATTCATTGACATTCTATACAAACTATACAAATTTAAATGATGTACAAGTGCAAGTCAACCGTGGGAAAGATTTGAACCAGGATACACTAGAAATTAGAGGCCATGCTAAGCCTGGTGCATACATGGCGTTCAGTGTGATGCATGCTGATCTATACGCCATTGGTGGGGCTTCATTTTTACGTGAATACGATGTAAGTTGCTTAGCACTTAATTTATTTCACTTTCACATCTCACTTATTTTGCACATTGCTTTTTGTGTTCCTGCATCAAGACACTTCCTCGACATGGTAAGTCATCGAAAATCGCATATCAACTAAACAGCAATTGAAGCGTTGGTTTGTAGGGATTTGATTTATTTGGTTACATATCACGAGCTGATATCAGTTACAAAACCAGTGAAGAACCTGAGAGTTCTGGACAGCTGTTTCGTCCTAATTTGGGACTCTTTGACAGTACCCACCAACCAGGGTTCGAAGCTCGGTGGCCTTTGGGGTGACAGGACATTTAACCCAGTCCTTATCCCATATGCGATCGAATGCATATACTGGTGCGAGGTTGAAAACTAGGATAAAAGAGCTTTGAATTGGTTTATGACACTTGGTGATCTCCCTGATTGTGACAGAAGCCGTCTACATGTCTATCTTTTCTGCGCAAGCAAGCTAAAGAAATTTCTTAGCTTATAAATATGTTTGCTTTTTTCTTTCATATTTTTTTTTAACAAAACCAGATTGTAGATGAGTTAATGACGTATGAACAGCACAGTCAATCTCCGTTAGTACATACATGGTACGAGGATTTTAGAGATATTAAACGTATCTATCTACCGACATCAAGCAATGGAGCCGATACTAACAGTACAATGAATTCCTCTGGTTTAATAATGTTCACTGATGCTAATTTCACTAAAGCAAATTTTTATCGTGAGTTATTAAGGATATTAAGACTGTTATATTATAGCTAAACTGTACTTAACAGAGTTATATAGTAAACTGGCCTCAATATTATTATTATTGCTCCCTTGGGTTCCTAGTGGAACATAGGGCTTCAACTGCACGTCTCCATTTTCTTCTGTCTTCCGCTGTACTTGTCGCCTGCATCCATGTTAATCCATATTCTTTCAACTCCTCTTCACACGATCTCCTCCATGTCACCCTTGGACGTCCCACACGCCGCTTCCCTTTCGGGTTCCACTCGAGGGCTTGGCGCGCGATGTCACCCAGCGGTCTCCTCAGCGAGTGTCCGATCCATCTCCACTGGCCTCAATACTCACGAATAATAGTGTCAGCTTAGTCTTAGCTAATTTTTTACTCTGTGGTTTCTATGCTACAAGTGTTTATTTCTATCAACTGAGTTTCTAGAAATAATACTTGCTAACAGAAGTGTCAGCATCACTTATACTTAGCTGCTGTCCGCATATTTGTCGTTTATACAGAATCCTGAAAACTTTCTTGATATTCAGAGTAACAGTGGGAGCTGTTTATCTGAATTGTCAGATGAAGGCAAAATAAGTGTCCAGTGATTCAGTTTATTGTAGTTCACTGCCTGCTGGCATTTTCACATAAAATATACCCTGAGGTGCCTTATGCGTACCACTGGACATGTATTGGTTTTATTTTACGAGCTGACACAAATGTATTACAATATAGTTAATTTTAAGTTGACAACTTCATCTGTCTTTAATTCATCACCAGTGAAACTGAGTGATCGTTGGTTATGCTCATCATCATATTGGTATTTCTGTAACAATGTGACATGTAGGGTGGGCTTTGTTAAGACTGGGCGTTAAACGAAAGATAGTTGAGATCAGTAGGCGGTAGAATTCGTTTATCTACACTAAAAGAGGGACCCGTACTCTTGTGATAACCCACCATCTTCTCTGCTGTTTACCGTAGCATTGTTAAACAAGGAGTGACTTAAGGATGGTCAACTGGAATCCTGACATGAAATGATTAAACAGATAACTGCTAACTTGAGACATACGAGAAAATAGCCAGAAAGTGCAGTTGTTTTGGTGGGTTTGTTTGAATAATAGGATTATTAACTAACTATTCAGGATGGATACCTCTGATGCAAGTCGTTTTCTGTTGTTATTGCTATCTGTCCAGTAAGCTGTTTATTCTAACATAACTCTGTAGTTGTTCATTTCCCTTTTCTGAGTTCTTACAAGGCTGGATAGTGTTGACCACTGTAATTTGTATGAGATTCATTCTTCTGTCATTTGATCTTTCAATATATCTGAGATAAAATATTGCGAAGCACGTTGTCTGAAAATCACAAGTTTCTCACAGTTGCTCATTTGATATTACATGTCTTAGGTAACATTTCAGGTAACAGGTTGTTTGTGACCAATAAATACTTTAAGGTGACAGTATTTCATAATCTGTGGGAGATATTTGTACTGTTTTCTCTTTGCTACAGATACATGTAATGAGACTGAGAATCCCGCACGCGCCTTACCATGCTATTCTCTGACTGGTAGAGATTGTTATTCGCGAAGTGAAAAATGTGATGGAATTAATCAGTGTGCCACATGGGTTGATGAAATGGATTGTCCAGAAAATGAGACCAAAAATCCACAACCATTACGTTTAATAGATACATTTGATATACTATATCGACAATGGAATGATGGTGCGTGGTTATGGCATAGTACGTTTGTGAAGTAAGTACAAAGGTTTTGGAAAAATAGGCTTTTTTCAACTTTTAGGAAGATTCGGTGGTAGGTAGTTGAAATTTAGTGGCCTTGTTATCATACTTTATTAACTGTCTATATTTTTCCCTAGTGCAACTCTTCTATGCATTAAAAATTAGTGCTTGATTATTAATTTCCATTGTCTTTTACAGATTCTTTAACTTTTTTAGTAACCACTTTATCTTAGAAAACATGACTCTGCTAACACATTTTTTAATCGTACAAATCTAAAGCAGATTGCTATCCGTGTTAATAGTTTCTTTCAAAGTGTCTTTTAGGCAGTATTTTGATTGGTTCAGCTAATAATGGATAATTGACTCGAGTTTTTTTTTTTTAACTTAGTACATTTTTGTAGAATTAAATCATGATAAACTATGAGTTAAAAGGCAAACAGCATTATTGCGAGGAAGGTTTCGTCACTTGACTGTTACTGCCATTCAGTGTTATCAGTGAGTATCGTTCTTCATACCAAAATGGGTGCTCACTAATCCAGCATTTGAAAACCCAAGTTTTTCTAAGTAAATAAGCAACCCCGGTGGGTGCGTACTGATGAAGAGTCCCAAACTAGGACGAAACAGATGTCCAGTACTCCCAGATTTTCCAGTGGTTCTCTAACTGATGTCAGCTCATGGTGAAATCCCCCCATGAAATAAGCAATACTTATCTATCAAGTACAACCTAATGACATAAATGTGTAAGTTAAAAGCAGTGATTAACAGTGCTACTGGTTTCGCTAGTGTTTGTTCTAAAGAAGCCCATATTTTAACGGACGTCAGAGAAAGCAAAGCTTTACGATGCAAAGTGTCTCTAACCAACTCAGTTTCTTTACTTATTTTAGAAACAAAGAATTTGTAAATTTTTGATGACAACCTTGGTAAGATCTTTGATTTCAGTATAACACTCTTCTTTTTTGCAAAAAGTTGAAACACGAATCCATTGGAATCACTAGCTTGTGTTTTTTTTTATTTCTCCTGACATATTTTGCCGGTCTTTACAGAGCCAATGGTCAGATACAATTTCGTGTTGATCTTCCCAAAATGAACGCTGACTGGGTGGCTGGAGCATTTTCTGTCGATAGTGAGCTAGGCCTAGCCTTAATGCAGCAGCCTTATCTATTTTCTGGTACAAGGAGGTTTTATATGACTGTTGAATTACCCGAAGAAGCTGTATGGGGTGAACAGATTGGTGTTCGTGCCTGTTTATTTAACAACTGGAACTACTGGATTGAGGTAATGTAAATATTTTATATTTTTTTGGTTCTAATGATTAAATACTCTAGCCGTCATTATTTGATTGTAATAATCTGACAGTTTCCCCTTTACCGGCTGTCATTGTCCTAAATATCTTTGATTGTCACATAGATTTCCTTCATGATTTTATCTGATATTCAACTTATTATTAAGGCATATTATTAAATTTAACATGGGTGTTATCGTTCGAAGAAATTATCAGAGAACATCAGACTCAAACTATGGGCTTGTCTGATGCCCACTAGCAGAGTACATCAATGTATCTTAATGACTGGATCCAGAATCGCCGTACACTACATTCGAACATAAAACCAGCAAGTTGTTTAAGACCATATTTGAGAATAACTTAACCGTTAAATAAATTTTAAAATTATGAAGTTTACCATTAGATTCTTTTTGAACTGCATAGCTCACACCAATGGTTATTAGTGTTTTAAGAATGATAAATGGCTGTATATGGGTACGTCAAACTATAAATTACACAATATCTTAGACTCAGTGAACAAGATCTTAGCAACTTTATGCTTTCTCTTCTCAGTATGTAGTGTGCATGAGTAGCATGGACTATATAAATATGATTGGGAAACATCACCTAATCGAATATCATGATTACTGCTCTATGATCTTCATGAAAGAATGTAATGTTTTACTCAAACCAGAATATTAGTGTATGGTATTGTCTGTCTTTCATAGATGCAGGACGTTTTGCTATTATTTTGGCTAATAATTTGTAACTTATGAAACTAACATTGAGTAATGCGAGCAGAATATGTTTTCTAGAAGAAGTACTACCTTTTTCAGATATATTTGAAAAGAAATTATCTTCGAACAGTACTGATGATAAGCCTATCTGTGAATAAGCGGTTTATATTTTCAGTAATTATCCCATTCGTTGATAATTTTCTCTTCCCCTATAGAGTAGGGTATATATTTCCTTCGGTTTTGTTTTACCCTGTTTTAGGCTTTAGTTGAAGTGAAAGCGAGTCCTGATATTCGTTTTGTACAAGTCGGTTTAGAAGGACGTGTATCTGCTTATGCACCTGAAGTATCTGTCAATAAATCTGTTCAGTCATTGGCCTATTTGGAAGCTGGTACTTCGCGTTACATTTATATGCCCATATTACCAAAACATCCTGGGAACACGTCATTTACAATATGCGCTTACAGTTTTATTGGCTCTAATTGTGAAACACACACAATACTTGTTCGTGTAAGTTAACACTTAATCTTTGTACAGATGAATTTAATTTAAATATGTTGACTTACATACAGAACTACACAAAGTTGTTACAAAGTTCTGGATCCTGCTACATAGATATTTAAACTGGTATCCTTATAGACAAATAAAGGGATTTTGTATCTTATTTTAAGAGGGAAGTTTAACTTTTTGTAACAATATCTCAACAATACTTGTCAGTTTGACTCGTAGAACATGTGATGGATAAAGCTTTGAATTTGTCGAAAGCAAAAATTTCTTTTTTTAGTGAAAACTTTTAAGTTAGTTTAATGAATAGCTTAATTTAGTAAAATGCATTCCAATCTTCTTGTGTGACATCAGTAGCGCAGATTTACAGACTTAGCGAGAATTTCCGGTGTTCCATTAATTTAGTTAAATAAAGTTTGCACAAACTGCAATACACATGTAGTATAAATTCCTGAAACTTCAGAATGAACGTTAGGAAAACCGAAAACTGCACCCCGCTAATTTCATGAATCCAGTTAAAGCTATGCATTTTCGGAGAAATTCATATTTCACTACTGAAGATAATTCTGGTTAATCCTAAATTCCTTAGTCTCGTAAGCTAAATTAAAGCAACTGCAGTGAAACAAGTAGTCATTATATATGTGTACATTAGTACGCATCTCTACATCTTTGATTTGGAAATCGACAGTCGTTTTCGGACAGAACAAATGGTGTACGAACGTGTAGTCTACGAATAAATAAGGTTGTCTAACTGATATCAGTCACTGTAATAAAGCTTGATAAAAATAAAAATAAGCCAATATTTAAACAAACTTTGATAATAAACTATTTTACTTCGCTTGAACTAGTCTATTTTACACAATAAATACATGACAGTTAACTGAACGAAGAAGTTGATCCACCCAGTCCACCACTTGTATTCTGGGTAATGAATGAACTAGCAATAGATTTAAAGTGATTGCTGTTTTACACTGGTGATCTGACTTTACTTGATGCAGTAATAATTATCGATTGGCAATAGAACTATGAGTGATTGCATTATGCGGTAGCATTTTGACGAAACGGTCACGACTTCAATCCTGTTTCAATTATGGTGATTGAAGTAATAAGATGTTGTCACGTGACTTATGTAAGAGGTGTGGTATATTGCCTGACACTTTTACATATTCATGACCTGTATGTCGTACCATTTATTTTTTTTCCCAAAAGTAGTCATTCATTTGACTCAGTCTACTCTTATTGCAATTCTAGCTGAAGTTTTTGTCTTATTTAGTTTATGTTCTGTAACTATATTTTGGTACTAAATTTGACTCAATAGCTACAAGATTATTTTTCTGCTGTTTTTATTTCGTGTCTAGTATGCAAATATCATCAAGGAATTGTGTTATCTAGAAAATACACGATGAATAATGCCTGATATATTTGATGATCTGGGTATCAGACCATAGCATTTATCCTTTACATCTATTGTTGAAGCATAGTTCCGTGTTATAAGATTTAATAGTGTGAAATATTCCCATATTATGAATTAAAAGTCAATCTGAACGAAGAATATATTTTTCAATAATTTCTCTTCAGGTTCTTACAGTTATAAAATATAATATTTGTATCGTTACATTTCTAACGTAGAATAACACTAGTTATGGGGTGTCAAAATAAATAGTCGTATTTGTGTGGCAAACGTACTAGGCTGAAATCGTTTACCAAAATATTGTAAAACAGGAGACAACGGTGGTGATTAATCATAATAGATTTGTTGAGTGTGGGGTAGGAAAATTGACAAGTCAGTTCAAGGTTATAAAAGGTGTCAAGTGGTCTGTGTTAAACAGGAGGTAGTAGGACTGCAATGAGAGGCTCATAATGGAATGACGAATATGTGAAATGAAACAGGTGGAGGCATATATTGAGATACTTGTATTTAGTAGCAAAGTGGTAAAGCAACTTATACACTTATGATATGTCATATGGCGAAACGAGTTGAAGGCAGCATGGATATACCACATGTACTTTGTAATTAGTTATTGCATCATACTGTGTGAAATTTATTTTTCTATTTTCCTACTTGGATTTTAATTTTAGATGAATGGTGTAACAAATTATTTTCATACTGCAAGTTTCCTAGACTTGACAAGTTCAAGTACCTTATTTGTAAATAATTTCAAGGTTATTGTTCCACAAAAATTCACAATTCCTGAAAGACGTTTACATCGTTTTGTGCCTGGATCACAGAAGGCTATTCTTAGCGTGGTCGGTAAGTGCCGTTTTACCTAATACTTACTACTAAAGCACCATATTTTGTGATGAATGCAAACACATAATATTTATCATATAATTATTCACAAGCCGGTAATTTATTACCTTCACTGTGAAGAGGAAAACGGTTAGAAATGGTCTACCCCTAAAACTTCACATGCCAACTTACCCTGTGGCAGACCATGGTAGAATCATCATACGGGCATAATTCCAGAAACCATTTCAGAAATGTAGTTTAAGCCATTTTTCATTCCTCAGTGGGGCTATTCGAGTCCTCCGTAACTATGGTGATTCATAATTCCAGTGCATCTGCCAGTTACTGCATGTTCATTTGTGGTTTTGTTTCAATACTGGAAATGATATGAAATGTTTGAAGATAGTAAGCAGTCAGGCAGCTTCAAGTATAAATGTCATTTTACCATCAGAAATGTGTAACTGGGCTCTTTTTATCGATGATGAATTTCACTGGTACTCTAGTAAATAAGACTGTATACTTTAGAATCGTTTATTTTTCCTTTTTATTTGTAACCTCGTTTCTATCCTCGTACAAAAATTTCATGATAATGTGTATTATTGTGTCAGTTGATAGGGAAAGACATAACTACCATCAATCGATCGTGAATACAAATACAAATAAAACAGCTCTGTATAACAGTTTTACTTAGATCAAGTGACCTTTATAGTGGTAGTTACTGAATGCTTTTTTCCTCTTAGCTAGCCAACATTTATGCGATAAGTCATTGTAGGATTACTGTACACTCTTATATCTGAAGTGTGTGTGCAATTCTGCTTCATATGTGTCCTGAATGAATATAAAAATCTGTAGACATGCCAATGAATCTGGAAGAAAGCAATCGATAAAAAATATCTTCGCCATTATTGCTTACTAATTTCCCAATTAAGTGGCTGTATTGTAGGGACAGAGAGAGAGAGGGAGTTTCATTTTTTGACGACTGTGTTATGACCTCTTGAGTTAATGGATATAATGCAGTAAATTGGCGATGGTTGAGGAAAATCAGTCACAAGAAAATTTACATAGGAGGCAAAACAGATTCAAACCATTCACCCTCAAACTTGAACTATTCACTATTACACTGAACTCGTTTACACCTCTTCACCTAAGGCTATCATAAATTGATAGTTCATCCTAATTATCTTTAGCTAGTGGATCCGCCCTCAATAATATTTGCTTGAATCCCATTCTTAGTAAATAAAAACTATATACGTATACATATATATCGGTCTTCTCCTAATGGTTCAGGTTGGGTCACTAAGCAGTCTGAGTTAGAGGGACATTGAAGATCAGAGGCTACTGCTTCGTCCCGGTTTGGGATTGTTCAGTGGTACACACCTATGATCCACCGGAGGTACGACTACGGACCCCGCAATCTTAAGGTTTTCTTGACTATTCATTTATCAAACTTTAATCATTCAGAGTGTCTCTTTACCTTAACTACTTTTCCTATGATTACATTGAAGTTAGCAAATCATTATTCAGCTTCATATCTGAAGTATCGTGCATGTCAGCTTGATGAATCCAAGCAAAATTTTTGTATATCTGTTAGCAATGGGGGTTATGCATCAAAGTTTGGCAATAATTAATGTAATATATACCATAGAGATCACTAGTAGAAATGGAAAATATGTTCCATACTTTATGGTTCAGTTTATTCTAGTATACACTCTGAATTACTACATTACTCAGAGGCTCTCGAAGACAATTTTTAAGAAGAAAATTAGGATGAGAAAACGTGTGAAGATTTCAACGAGTGCATTTCACCAAGAATTAGTACAACGAGTTGTAACTTATTGTATCTTTTAAACTATTCCTTATTCTTCTGGCTTCTTCAGGTGATTTTATTGGTCCTGCACTAAGTAAAGACTTTCGTTATGCAGATACACGGAACATTCTACGCCTAACTTATGCATCTGCAGAAAATGTTTTCTTTGAATTGGGTTACAATATGAATTTATTACTCTACCTACATGGCGCTGGGCATTTACCTTATTCAGTTCTAGAAAATGGATTACTTTACTGTTCTGTTGTACTACAACGCGGGTTTTCATATTTCAATCGGCAGATTGGTGCTTTTGCTAATTTTAGAGATCGTTTAGATGAGTAAGTGATTACATTATTAGCGTTGTTCGCTTTAATTTATTACTATCCGTTTTTTTTGTTTAATTCATGTATACTTCGCATGGATCCAGAATATAATTTCAAGGCCGTCAACGACACCCTTTTCTTATACTTTCTATAACTCGACTCAATACATTTTAAATCATCACGACTAAATGGGAAATCACTAGTCGAGTATTTCTCTTTTTATGCGAAGCATTGTGCTACATATTGGTATTGCTAGTAGTTTTTTTTTGAAATCATTTCTATGTCTTCAGTCCTTATCGACTGCAAGATAAATATCAAATCTGAACACACTTCAACTCATCACTTGCTTAATAATTAACAAAATAAATTGTAGCTGAACATTTTAATTCAATATCTGAAGGATTTGAAAGTCTTCGTAGCTCAGGGGGAGCAGTATAAGAAGAAGCAGTTATTTCCAGGCTTTTGATAATTACTGTCCTTAATGCAGAGATTATTATTCAGGCAACAATTGATTCATTCATCAATAAATAACAGTTCATCTTACAACTAAGATTGTTTTTCGCAGTGGAATGTTAAACTTAATATGTTAAAAATTCAGCAGTAATATAGAGAAGAAGAAGAGTTAATTTCTCGACCATTTTATAATTAGACAGCTTTTAAACTGCAAAGTGACACAGAAATAAATTACATTGATTTCCTGGTGCAAAAATACTTTAGAAACACAATGAATGCGTTTTATGTACAAACATACAAGTTGAGGTCTAAATCAGACCACTATAAGACAAAACTTTTATCCCAGATACAGTCTTGTTTCACTCACCAAAATATTTGTGGAGGAGCTGTTATACAGCACTATGAACATAGACAAGATGTAGGTTATGGAAATAATCAACCAACCAACCAACAACAGCAGCAACATCCAGCGCCGATCACCATCAACGGGAGGGATTTGAGAGAGGTTATTTCATTCACTTATCTAGGGAGCATTGTCTCAACTACAGGAGGAACGGACGAGGATGTCAAATCGAGCGAGAATCGGAAAGGCGAGAAACACATTCATCAACCTGAAACCAATCTGGAAGGAAATCTTCGTCACTCAGCCAGAATCAACAACAAAATTCGGTCGGATTTTCAATATAAACGTCAAGTCAGTCAGTTCTTCTATACGGATCAGAAACTTGGCGGGCGGGTCACAAAGAATATTTCCAACAGCCTGTTGCAGACCTTTATCAACAACTGTCTTCGCTCTATACTGAAGATCAGATGGCCGGGTCGGAAAGAACCACCAACAAGAAACTATGGGAACAAACAAAACAAGAACCAATCGGCCAACAAATATACAGGAGAAAATGGAGATGGCTTGGACACTCGCCAAGGAAGCCGCTGGGTGACATCGCGCGTCAGGCCATTGCTTGAGTGGAACTCAAAAGGGAAGCGGCGAGTGGGACGTCCAAGGGTGACATGGAGGAGTCGTGTGAAGAGGAGTTGAAGAGTATGGACTAACATGGATGCAGGTGAAAAGTACAGCAGAAGACAGAAGCAAGTGGAGACGTGCAGTTGAAGCCCTATGTTCCACTAGGAACCCAATGGAAAAAAAGTAATAATATACAGCACTGTGCCAGTCTCAGTTAGGCTTATAGTGGAAACCCGTCGGTTAACTATGTCTATCCTGCAATCAGTTACCGCTAGATATGAAAGCAACACTGTCTTACTAAAGTCACTTTGATTATACTCATATTTTATAAATAAGCTTTATAATAGAAATAGAATATAAAAGCAACTACTCAGTACATGAATATTTGTTGGTTGGTTTTTATCCTAAACTAAAGCACACAGGTTAAGGAATCATTTTTTACCCAATATACCTACAACATCTGAGGAAAGATAAGAGTTCATCTTTCAGCCAGATGTTTAAAAACCATTACCAGTAATAAAAATCTTAGGTCATTAAAATTTTACCATAGTTTACAGTATCTTACTCTATAACCCTTTATTGCCTCCCAGTTCATTGTTTAGACTAAGATTTAGGCAGATCAACTAGACTGTGTGCATGCTTTTAACTTTGATTATCTAATTTGTCTTGACTCTTCTCTGATTTTAACCTTTTTTATCTGTCGTATCAGGTCCACTTGGAGAAAATGTAGGTCTTAGTTAACTGTTTCCTTTCTTATCTAAAATATTCTAAACTTGCAAATACTGGTAGAGATTTTCACATAATGGAAACATTTTCTGAACTGGATAATTCACAGAGACAAAGTTTATCGTTTACATTGATATATCAAGACATTTTAGTAATTTTCAAGTATTGGTTTTTTTAGGGATTTAGTTTGATTGGTTGGAAGATTTCACCAGGAGCTGACATCAGTACTGGACAGTTGTTTCGTCCTAGTTTGGGACTCTTCGGCAGTACGCACCCACCAGCCGGGGTTCGAAACCAGGACTTTCTGGTTACAACACGAGCGTGCATACCATTATGCCATTAGTAAGCTAAGGACTTGCGTTTGTATTATCCTCTTGCGTTGTTGCAGTCTAAACTGGATCTAGGAGGGTCCGTAACCATTTATTCCTACTACCTGGCACTGTTTTACTAAGCGCACTACCTCTTTTAGTGTTTTGATCATTTTTCTGCCTCTTTTTCCACCAGTTAACTGTAAAAAGAGTTGCTCTGCTTCTGTGTCAACTTTTGGAAGTCGATAAACAAGAAACTGCTTCTTCAACCTTATGCTTGAATATAGGCCTAGCTGTGAACTTTTATTACTTTCTGGTTCTAAAGAAAGCTAATGTTTTCAGTTAGGTAATTGAACTCTGCTATAATGTTTCACTGCAAATCGTAGATCCCATGGCTGTGGAGTTATTTTGGCATGGCTCTGTTTCCAGATTGTTATCATGCATACACATAATTGTGAGACCATTATGAACACACTGGTCTGATATTTCCTTCTAACGACGGTTTGTAAATGAGATAGGGATTCTATAGCGCAGACTTTCTTCTCGTTGCTATTTTATGCTAAATCTACAGACAATTGTTCTTCATTAACAATGTAAAATTTAACACCTAATAATAAAGTAGTATGTATTACCTTACGATATGTGACTTGTTTCACTGTATTACAAAACAGTGATATATATATATATATATACCTACTACACCAGATAAATCTTCTCTAATAATTTCCACTTGTTCCCGGCAATAATTTCGGCATATACCTGGAATTATTATTCATCTCTGGTGCAGTTTAATGGTGATCTACTTTGAGGTGGGATTTTTATAGCTTCAGCGTTAAAATCACAATTTTCCAGTACATATTAGCAATAAAAAAGCATAATTCAGTAATTATGAATAATTTCGTGCACTAGTCGAAGAGCTGCAGCTTAATATTGAGTATCATTTGTCAAAGGTAATTGTTAAGCATTCTGTTTAGTAGCATCATCATTTAAAATGTCATATCAGCTGTCAGTGGTGTACACATTGCGTAGGACGAAGTAGACAGTCCATAGTTTTCCATAAGTCACCTATACAACAGTTGTCATTTTCTTTGGTGAATATATATCTTCAGACACCTATCTATATTAACTTGATGACTGTGTATAAAATACCAGACATTTTTATTTTGAAATAAAATAAACGGAAAAAAAACAGCGAATAACTTTTTACTGTTTCTTAATTGGATGCTTTAGAAACACTTGGACATAAAATTGCCTGGTGAATATTGATCGTCTAGGTTTAAACATGTGATTGGCTAGTATACTACATAGTTTTCCCTAGTGAAATATACTTGATTCTTGTTATTTTTCGAATTTAATTGTTCCTAAACCTGATAACAGTGTACTTCCTATAAGAGAAATTGCAGTTTTTCTTTCTTTCTAGTAAATTGAAATATTTACATGAAGACTATAAATCACAAATAGATTATATCAAACACAATTGAAAAAAGGAGTGAATAATTTCACTATGTACATGGGTTAACGTGTGTGTGTGCGTAGCGTAGAAGTACTTTTAGTCGCACTTTAATGAACTTTCCCGATGTTGATTCAGTAGCCAGTTACATGTAATACGAACTAGTAAACAGTCACGGTTTCTACCCTCTTGTGTACAAAAGTGTATTCAGTTGAATTTTACACCGATCTTTAAGTTAATATGTTTGAAACAGAAAAATCGTGGGATATAAAATTAATCATCAGCACATTTAATTCCAGAAAAAAAAAGATGAATATATTTATTAGGAACAGCTGTTCTAGATTTCGTGAAAACAGTAATGAGATACAATAAACGAAACTACAGGACTTTCAAGATCTGAATGTTATCAGCATCTGTTTTGCTTCCCTCATAGATCCCAACAAAACCGCCTGCTAAAAGTGCCAAAAGTAATTGGAAACCACTTAAAAGAGTTTAAAAGAATTGAAACACACTGTAGCAGTCCTGTGTCGAAGAGAATGGAGGAAAAGATACCTGGTGACCGTCTTCAAAAAGAATGGATATCCTCATGATTTCACCAAAAAGTTATGCCACCAACAACAACCCAACACCAGTAACCACAAGAAAATTCATCCCACCATATATAAAAGATATCTCTGAAATATCAACTAGAATAATAAGACGATTTGAAATAGACATAGTACACAAACCAACACAATCACTTCATTTGATACTGTGCAAACCAAAGATACGACAGAAAAAGAAGATAAAATTAATACCATTTACAAAATAAATTCTATGAATATTTTGATTGGACACTAGTAACTAATTTAATGTGTCGAGTCCTTTCTTTGGTGCAGACTGAATTCTGTCAGTCAGTTTTGCAATGTGGCCACCATTCTAGGTACCTCTTCATCACGAGGCACATTGATTTGATGATATATTAGATAGTTAGAGGCAATTGGCAGGAAGCCTTGGACCCAGGTTTCGTCCTAGTTAGCACTCGTCAGCAAGGCGTATCTGCAACCTTGAAGGAACTCGTGTCTCTGCTGGGATTCGAACCCGTGTTACCCAGTGATGCAATCAGAGAAGTTACCAC